TTTCTTCATTCTCCTTAAAACTGTCATCATTCTCCTTCCAAATATCGTTCACGAGCTATGATTAAAAAAAACCCAAACAAAACTCCACTCAACTAGTGCTGCAGATGTAGGTGGCTGAAATCATTCTCTGGCCATTTTAGAAGTGAACTGCAGCTTCCATCATATTATCATTATGTCTCTGCAGGAGGAAAGCCTCCCCGGAGATTTCACCAGCTGTTAACAGCAACAGTGATTTATAGCTCTTAGCATCTCAGGGCCTCTAACATTGTAGAAGTTCAGAGAGCAGTATAAACCCTGCTTAGTTCAAATAGTGAGTGTCTCCTAGAGTTACAGACAGACTTAATGCTGTGTAAATGTAATCTTTGTTTGCACATCTGTAAATTGCGAATAATATTCTCCTACTTGATGAAAATGCTGTGGAGATAGTTAATATCATAATATGTCTGAAAATCTTGGGTTAATAGTTCCCAGGGAAAAACCGCTAGAGTGTTGTTATTATAAAACAAAAAAGCTAATAATGAATCACTGATATTCTGCAGAAAACGTAGATCATAATTCAATGCTCCTGTCAGATACTTCGGGTGTAGTTTGATGAGTTGCTAAGTGGCAGCAGAAATCTTCCTCCTTCCAGGTATATGCCAAGTCTAAATTATTGCTTACAACTTCAACCGGGTACACGAGAAGTTATTAATGCCCTATCTTGAGTGGCATTGTTCAGTTTGTTCTGTAATTAGAGTGACTTCATGAATTATTTGCATTTTTTTAAAATCTGAGAGAAAGAAAAGAACTGATGGTTGTTGTTTTTGTGGATGGGATATCAATTCAGGAGGACAACATTGTATTTAGCAGAGTATTGAACTTTAATTCTGATGAACCTATGCCTTCACAAAACCCACACCATTCACACAGATGGGAAAGACAGACATTCTGTTTCATCTCTTCTGGGCCACAGTTTTGAAAAAGAACAGCTGTGCTCTGATGATACGATAAAAAATGAAGTGTAAAACTCTATGTGAAATTTGTAATGAAACTGGTCCAAATCAGACATTATTAATAGCAATTACTGTATAGTCTGGGACATCTGTAAAACTCAGATGATATGGTGATGTTCTTCAAATTAAAGCTTGGCTTAGTGGAGATAACATCACTGCATGGTAATGCAACACAGCAAATTTGATTTTAAATCTCCTATAAATCTGAGTGAAATCTTAAGGAAGGAGGCGTGCCAGAAAAAGATGTGTGACCTCAATGTGTTAGGAACTGAGCTCTTACAGTTGTCAGCCTCTAATACAGGTATCCCTAAAGCTCTGAGATTACTGTGGAAGCTTTTCCTGAGATCTCAGTTTTATGAGAGATATTTATTATTTTGGTACAAAGAATGGTCTAATAATGGAAAAGTATGATTATAAATTCTTTGCCTGAGGAGAAACAAAATCAGGATCATGCCTGTTGAAAACTTTGCTCAGTAAGTCCATAGTTTCAGAGTCTTTATGTAGAGGGGCCAGATTATGTTTCATTTATGATAGAACTGTAGGTTTGTTAGGCCACATCCTCTCTGCAATCTACATGTGTTCTTTTGTCTTGGTAATGGAATAGTGTTTAGGTAGTAATTATCTACTGGTTACAATGTAATTGTTTCCATGAGTCTTGCTTTTCTCTTATGCTTCTTTCTCTCTCCTATCCTTCTCCTTCACCATCATATTTGGCTGTCATGCAACTACCATTTCATCTACAAAGACTTCCCTCCCAACTTTTGTCCCCATCCTATCTACTATAATGGCTGATGACAAAATAGTTTGTGCTGATACCTAAAGTATCTTTAAATAAAGCTGAGAGTAAGCAACCAAAGAGATTAGTGTAGCTGATATGCTGTTTTGTTTACATGATTCATGTCTGTAACTTCTCCTTAGCAATCAGGAGGAGTAAAAAAAGTGCAGCCTTTAAAATGAAGGTTTGAAGGTTTTGGGTTGTCATAGACCCACATCAGCACAGCCAATGGGCTGATGTTATTGTATGAAGAGGGAGTGTATTCTGAGGTAGATATGCTGGGATGGGGATGGAGGTGGAGAAGCTTGGAGCAGAAAAGCAGAAATGGACTTAAACCAAATCCATAGGTCCAAAGCTTTTTAAAGTTTGCATTGAGTGAAAATGCACATCTGAATTTTGAGTTTTGACGTTAAAAACCTTGAACGTCAGAACGCTCAAAACCTTGACCTGTTGTCATGGCTTGAGATCATCTCTGCAGAAAACCAGAAACCAACAAGTTGGAATTCATGTTGATCTGTGGTAATTTTGCCACTGGCTTCAGGAGAAGCAAGTTCAGAGCCTCAGTCTGAATTTCTAGCTATCAGATGGCGAAGGAAGCAGGTCCATGAAGACATTCTCTATTCAGGAAATAGTAAGTAGTTTTAACTACAATTTATCTCTTTCTGATACAAATATTAGAAGGCTTGGGTTTTGTCTGTCACTGGCCATGAGGAGATCACTGAACTCAGTCCTCTGAAACAGCTCATGAACACAGGGGCTCCCTTTGTGACTTTGGCACACATACCAGAGATACAGCTTTTAAACCTAAGCAGCAGAGATGTCTAGATGTGAGCACAAGTTGACATTCTTGGCTCTTGGGTTTATTTGCTGCAAGCAGATGATTCCACTTCTCTAAACAAAGCATGAAAGCTTCAGTTTTAACTGAAGGGCACCTTGGGTTTTGAGACTCTCTCATTCTTGCCTCCCAAGCTGTTGCAAAAAGTATCCTTCATCTAGTTGACCTAATGCATTTTTACCATGTCATACAGTCTGAATTCACTGCCTCACTCAGTGTTTCCATTCCCCTGCAGCCAGAGGGCAAAGGTGTTAAAGGGAATATGCTGAGTCAGAAATGCTGGGGTGTAGCTGTGGTGACCTCCAGCATGTGTCTT